GGGGATTCCACACGAGGTAGCAAGGGGGGCGTGGCACACAGGAGGATCGGCAGGAGCAGGGCATGACACATTCGGGCATTAAAGATTTTCATGCAGGCTATGCCATCATTAGCATAGCTTACAAGAGTGACAAGAGATTTTTTAAATCATCTATCATTTAAATGATCAACTTATATCCATAAATGTAAATTCTGGAAATTCTGTATTCATGGGGCCCCTATTTTTCAGGGGGGCCCAGTGGTTGCCTACACTGTACCTGCTGCATAATAGATCCGCCTGTGGTTGGCATTTCTTCTGTGTTTGTTTACATTGCTTTTAAAGAACTTTAGAGGGGGAGGGGGTAGATGTTTATGAATCCAGTTTGATCATTTTTGCATAATATGACAATGACTGTACAAGGACCCTTGTTACAGGATATTGAGAAAGAAAGATATGATGTGTACATGGATGTACATATATTTTATTACAATGTATTGGATGGTAATTTGTATACTTTGGGCATACCCAGAAGTAAAGAAACTTCTGACAAGATTTTGTTCTCCATTGTGGTCTTCTGTATTCTTCTAGACTCTTAGTGATATGACTCATGAAAATTCAGCTATAGTGCATAGATGTTTCTTACCTATGTGTGGACATTCAGAACCCATGGAAGAAGAGGGTAAAAGCATTACTCTATTTTAGCCCTGTATCACATGCTGTTATAAAATGAAAGCTTTTTCCCCCTCTTGACTTGGAATACCTTGTCTTTAGCATGAATAATGAATGCTAAGTGCCCTCGACTGCTGGGGGCGTTCCTGCTGGTGCATAGCTTGGTCTGTGTTCACATGAGAATGACTTTTTCGTCAGTGTTTTGGTGGGATGGGATAATGTGGATCACTAACAGGCAGCTGGAGCCCTCAGTACGGATGAGAGGGTCCCTCTGCATTGGAAATCTGGAACAAGAGGTGAGATGATTCCCTTAACTGAAAAATCCAAGTCTTACTCTGATAGGGGACATGGAAAAACAGATTGCTTGGCTGTCAATGTGCATTTGTTTTACTGTCAGTCCCTGAGTGTCCAAAATAATATCAATGGTTTTACTTCGTGTTGAGTATATTTCTGCACACAAAAACATAAACACCCAGGTACTGATGAATACAACGACTGCCTAGAGCAGGTGGTGGATTTTAATTTTGTGAAGTCAATCCACATGAGATAAGGGGCATAAGAAGGTAGCCTAGTTGTTATCAGGGGGCGATTCTAAGATTAGGAGGCTCAGCCCCCAAGAAATACACATCAAAATCACTAAATGGATTTTGAGTAATATTTTTTTTAGGGGGGCTACGACAAAAAATAGGGTGACTGATGCCCTTCCACAGAGTCTAGAATCATCTATGGTTCTTAACAGTTATTTTTATTTAATATAATCAGTGAAAAGGTACCAAATGTCCCTACAATATGATAAAAAACCTGCTATTTTTACGTTTTTATGCGTCCACAAGAGGAAAAGTCAATTTTGTAAAAATCCCTGACTTCAATTTAAAAATTAAAATACCAAAAGACTTGTGTTTTCTTTGGTTACTTGTAGTTAAAGTTATGGCTTGGTAGGGTTTAAGGTTGTCATTGTTGGGATTAGGGTTTTGCCCATAGAAATAAATGGACGGTCCCCACGAAGATATGAGTACAGGTCTGTGTGTGTGTGTGTTTGTGTGTGCACATGTGTGTGTATGTTTTTAAAGCAATTTCTGATGCCATGTTGACACATTAAAGCTAATATTCAGTGGGTTTTCAAAAGGCACTTGACATCACCCGCTGAGACAGCGATGTTTTGTTTAATAAAAGATGGCTTGATCCTCCTCTTGCCTAATCTCTGCATTCATTTAGCTATCTCAAAGGGGTCCTCCACTCAGTGACTGTAAACCCCAGAAATTAATATTTATGTACTTACCCAGCTCTGAATCGTTACCAGTCAATCTTGAGACACCACCATTAACGGAACTGGCAGATCCTTGGCAAATTGACTGCGGGTGATAACGTGTGCTAGGGAGTAATTAATATGTGAATCTTGTTAAATCGTTTTACCCCAGATAACGGTAATAAGACACCACTTCTTATACACGTCCACACACGCACACATTTAAGCCCCACTAAATTTTCTTGCGAGTTGCCACTGTTGATATAACATATATATTTAAATAGCCCGAATAACGGTATGTGATGTGTACGTGTATTTGACGGTTATCGGGGAAAAGTCACGATTAAGTCCCGTAGCTCTGCTGTTGAAGGGATATATTGCATTTTGCAAAAAAGGAGTGTCTGGAATATGTGAAATAGCTGAATTTAAAGAGGATAAAATCGGCTACATAAGACCGCGCTGAAACGTGAACTACTGCAATAACACTGTTTCCATCCAAACATTTTAATTTTTGGGGGTGGGGGTCATCACAATTGAAGTCGACTGAGAGCATTATTGCTATGAATGAGTAAAGCATACTACGTCATAAGAATACGACTGAAGAACAGGCAGCTGAGCAACGCAGGAGAGTAAAAGCTCAGAGTGCGCCTGCTTGTACGCATGAGATCTTATAACGGAGTGATTAAGAAAATGCGCATGTGCACACGTGGTTGCTAGTTCAAAATCCTGCGATGGGAATTGCTGTTATACCACGTAAGTCAGTCTGCATGCGTTAAAAGTGACTTAGGATAAATTCATGTCCAAGAAAGTGAAATTAATTGTAGCAATTAATTGATCCGGATTGCTTAACAGTGGGTCGAAGAAAATCTGACATTAAGACGTCGGATTCATCGCTTTATTAGGCCTAGAACTGATCTAAAAATTACCTTAATCCATTTTCAATTATATTCCAACGTACTCAGAAAGTGACGAGTAGCTCACTTATGACATTAAGTTTAAAATGTTAAACTTTCCAGACCTATTTCTGTTTAGGGTCTTTAGAACGCACCGATTCTACTTTTTAATAAACATCAGAAATATTGCAGTTTATGTATTTGATTTGGTATCACGATAGGCCGTTTGAGAGTGGCCTATACACATTTTACGGATTCAATGAACATCAAACTATTGACCATTTTAGTGAAGTGTATAATTGCTTCATGCGAAATGATGTAAATATGGTGTTGGCTTATTTTTAAACAGGCCTATATGTTCTGTATTTTTCCTTTTCTATATTCATTGTATTGCCAGTCCCCGAAACATTTGCCTACCAACTTCCTTTTCCAATTGTTACTTTTTCCACTTTCATTACTTTTAAATATCAACCTGGTAGTTTTCTGTTAAGGCTGAAAAAATGACGGACTGATGTATCAATTATCGTCTCTGACAATATATTCTTCTTTTTAACTTTCTGTTTGTATCTTACATGTATAAACAGTGTTTCCCAAACCAGTCCTCGAGCACACTGGACAGATCCACATTTTTGTTTTATCCCAGTTCCCAGAACACTTGACCCAAGCAGTCAGGATCTGTCCAGTGTGCCCGAGGTCTGGTTTGGGAAACACTGGCATACAATAGGCTATAAGATTTAATTTGAGTAAACCTCAACTATGTCGAAACGTACAAATTCTGAAAAATGACTGGCATATGTCATTCACCTGAGATCACAACTCCTCACGCCTAACAAAGTAGTATATGAATAAAGAAAGAAACAAAGAAAGAAAGAAAAAGGTAAACACCACACGACACTGCGCTTATAAGTCGTCGGTAGATAGACGGGTAAAGTTAAAACTTACTGCAAACTCATTACAAATGAAAGACACGCTGGAGCCTAATTGATGGTTCAGGGTGCACGATCGGCTTATTAAATTAAATGACGTCTAGTGATCTTAAGTAGTTCGAAAATAAGCGTGAGGAGAAAAGTAGTGGACAGAAAATAATTATCCGAAGAATCGCCTTCGTAAATGGCTCGCTATGTCCGCGTCCCTTTGACAGCGCAGCGCGCAAATGTAAATGTTCACGCTGCTTGTGACTGCGCGAGGATCCCGTGCACGTCTGAGCGTGATGGTGTGATGTCGAAGGTTTCTGCATGCGGCTTCGTCTGTGTATGTGGTGTTATAAATAACTGCATTTGTGTTTCTTTTGTGGATGCAATATGTGTCTGAAGTCGATGTGTCCCACGAGGTGGCGATTGGGCAACTAAACCGGGAGGTCCCACTACTTAAAGGGAAGGAGCGGACATTGCCGCAGCTCTGTCCATTGTCGGTCTGGGAGAGGTGGGTACGGAGAGCAGGGGTGGGGGGTGGGTGAGAGGAGAGTGCGAGATAGAAATAAGCAAGCTCACCCCATACTCCTGGAATCTTCCTTGCATACAGGAGTTGTCTAGAGATGGGGGGGGGCAGGTGTCGGAAATATACAAATCCAATTTCTTAATGAGCGAAATATCCCGGACGGTCATTTCCAAATTTCTTTGCGCTTCCTGTAAGTTGTAATTGCACTGCTGCGCTAGTTATAAGGTAAGGCTCTTTGTTTGTCTTTGTTATTTGCACGGTGCATCTCACTGTGTGCGAGTGACTCTGCATGTGGCAAATGGCACCTTCACTCCCCAGGGAGGTGTTAAGAAAACTAGAACACTCATAAACTCTATGTGGCAGCGGTAGGAAACAATTACTGTGTCCCCCCCATCCCCCAGGCTTAACAATAACTGTCTTCTCTATTTAATTTTACCGTAGCAGCTATTTTTCCTTGCATAAAAGTTAATATTAATGAAGCGATTCTGCTTTGTCATAGAATTAGAAATCTAATTATTGTGTTTGCTTGCTTTGGGTTAGAGTGTATGAAGTCCATGTTTTAATAAACTGCATAAATATAGACGTGTGACTGTCCTTTGCTGGTCTGGAGCGAGTTTGGCGGTAGTGAGAAAGCATCCGAACCACATTGTCAGAGGAGCCAGCAAAGGGGTGATGGCGTGGAGGGAGCTTATAAAAGTCTCTCCGGGGGAGCATGGTCAATGCCAGCGACCAGGATAAACACGCAGCTTCGGGGCAAAGGATGAGAAGCCAAGCGTGGGAATTTCCAGATTGTGTTAGAATTATGGGGTGTAAAAGTTCAGGGTGTCGAATCTCAAAGCTGCTGGGTGTACAAAATATCCGAAATAAACAGATCCGTTTCCGACTTTTGCCGGTCGATTACTCATGTGCTGCTTTATTTTAGTTTATGTTACTGGAGCTGGGAGCTGCATTGTTGCCTTACTTATTACCGGTGTTGGCAAACTGATGATTCTTGGTTAAGACAGAAATGTTTATCAAAGCGAAATCATTTCAAGATGGTATTATTAATTTAATACAACAAGGGCTCCTCAGATAGAAGAAATATGTAATCCATTCACGTCTTATTATTCTGTGATAGTAGGTGTTTAAATTCTAATAATATTTTTGCAGCCATTTGTAAACAACTAAATACATACCGTTTATAATGCTTCTCAGCTTCTAGCCGGGATCGGGACTTAACCCAAAAGCAACACGAACACAGTATATGGCAGAGGTGTGAAACAATAATTCTGACTCCTGACTTAACCGTAAGTGCTCTAGCTTTCCTTTTACTTTAAAAGCTATTGTGTTATATGAAAGTTAATGCCAGTGACGGCGATTCTGCTTTGTCATGGACTATTTCTGGTCACGGTATTGCTTTTGAGGAGAAATCTGTTTTGCTTGCTTGCTTTGTGTATCAAGTCCATATTTTGGTAAGAAATTATATACATATATGTATAGAAGTGTGAGTCCTTTGTTGGTGTCTGGAGCGGGTTTAGCGGTAGTGATAAAGCATCCGGACCAGAGTGTAAGTAGCGATACGAATGCCCCCCCACCCCCCTCCGCAGCAAGGAGCTGCAGGTCTTAAGCAGGCTGGGGTCGAATCCAATTTTCGGGTACCGTGCTTATAGCGCACCACCTTCGGCTGTATCAGCGTTTGCGGTGCTCCAGCCTTCCTCCAGACGCGCTGGTTTGCGGCTTCGAATCTAATTCAGCTTATAATTATCTGTGGGTGGGGGTGTATCCCGTGTAGCCGGGGCCACCACGAAGCAGGGTGTATTATCAAGAAACTGCTGTTGCAGGCAACATCTGTCTCGCCCTGGTGGAGGAATTGGCTTGAGGTACACCAATAGCGTCCGCTTTATAAGTACGGGTACCTGGAAAATCATCCCACCCTCAGCCGCATCTTGCTGTGTCAGTGTTTACGTGAGAGAAATTGACTTTTTTTTTTAAGCAGAAGCAGCTGGTGACAGCAGGGGAATCGTGGCGGCTAAATGGACTCTGCTCAGATGGGGTACATCGGAATTTCCTTTCGTTATTTCTGTGATTTACAGTTATAGTGTGTTATATATTTTTCTTATTTAAGCCACCCTCCCCCCACCCCCGGCCCATAAGCGTTTTTCATCTCTGCCGACTACGCAAAAACTGAATTAAAAATAAATATAGGCACCAAAAACCATAATTGCTTTATTATTAATATAAGAAATATGTGTGTATGTGGTGGTGGGGGTATTGTAAAACACCCACAAATGTATGTCAGAAATCCATGAATTTTTACTGTACAAATACCCATGCGAAGCATGTATTTAATTGCAAGAAGAGAATATGAATATAAAACAGGCATGTTAGCTGCACTGCAGTGTGATGTCATCAGTGTCTTGATCCCACAAAGTTCTAATTTATCTGAGTCATATATCCCAGATAAAGTCAAGGATGAGGGAGTAGAAATCACTGTCTGTGCGTTAGTGAGGAACACCAAGCTCTGCTCTTTTTCTCAGTCATTTATGGGAGGAATTTGAACTTTTTTTTTTGATCAGACTGTCTGCAAAGTGGAGGTTGTTTTGTTAACCCTGGGTTGTAGGACTAACCATTTTGGTGACTGCTGTTTGTTCACAATCTCGTCCTCTAATTATATTCCTGTTATGTGAGGATCAAGGACAATATGAGCCAATCCATTCTTCTGTCAGGAAGGATTTTGACGTTTTCCAAGTGTCTGGACTGTCATGAGTCAGCTTTCAGGGCAGGAATTTCCACAAGAGGCACACAGACAAGGGAGGAGGGAGAAAAAAAACAGGTCTTTGAGATGGCTTAACGTGTGTCTCTGCAGAGTGACTGGACCGTGGCGAAGGCTGTCATTGTGTTTGTGTTCCGGGAAATTAGAGGCCTTTGTTGAACACTGTGATCAGGAAGCTCCTCGGGAGAGGAAACCCAGCTTTAGTCTGGCCTTCGCGTCTCCACTAGGAGATTAATGAATGGCAGAAGGGACATCTGAGGAGGTGGCAGGGCAAGGAGGTGGGGGGGGGGGGTCTGTCAGACAGTTTATGAGTGAGTAAATTGCTGCAGAAATGGCAGTTGTTTGTATTCCAGTGTAAGTAAAGCCCATTTATATTTAACAATAATTTGGCAGTGACAGAATGGTGGAATTATGGGTAAATCACATGATGTAGATCCGGGTATTTTTAAAACGGTGTGCTAGGAGTGCCAGATGGTCAGGTCAGTCACCTGTGTTTTAGATCTGCTGCACCGGTTGAGAGGATGGAGATCAGCAGCCACACTCTGGCAACCCCGAGGTGGCAGTTTTACTTCTATGGTAACATTAAAATTTAAATGCGCTCTGGAAGGAGACAGGCATTCACTCTGTGTCCAAGTGTTGATATTTTATACTTATGCCATGGTGTACTTTTGCTCAAACAAGCTTTCCAGAATGGAAACACGTATCCATAGACACAAGCTTTGTTAGCTCATTACTAAAGCCGTCCTGCTCATATTCATTTCGTAATTGTGCAACTCTAGTGGTAATTGTAAGGCATCGTTTTAATACTCTTTGCTCTGATTGGCTGTGTATATACACCCAGGGTACCCAACATTACAGGGACACGGTCCCAAACCATCCAGACAGCCGCTGACCACAAGCAGCCATGTCGAATCGGAGCGATAAATTCAGATGCGGCTCAAGCCTAGCAGACATTAATTTGGTTTTCAAACAAAAGTGGTTTTCATGGCCCGTCGGGTGAGGATAAGCCGTCTCAGGACAAAGTGGGTCATTTGCCATATCAGGGGACATGCTTTTGTCTGGGGGCTTTCCTGCCAGAGAGATGATGGTTTATAAGTATGTGTAGTCTATAGTGGGCGTCTTCCTGACCAGTGCATTGTGGGCACTGTCGGCATGTTATGTAAGATCAGCCAGTGCACTCAGCTGTGAATCACTTTGCCCGATGTTCCTGTTTGCTGGCCCGGAAGGGACCTTCCACTTTGTGGTTCCCAGCTCCGTATTTGGGGCATCTGCTGTGAGCCTCTTAAATATGCTATTGTTGTGAGGTGTGGCTCTGCATTTCCACTGCATCGTCTCCCTAATCTCCCACTTACCCTGTCCTCAGAGACCTTCCAAGACACACAACAAACACTAAAAGAACAATATATTAATGACAAATTTTCAGCCTTACAAAGAAGATTACTGAAGGCATTCGGTAGTGGAGGAGTTGGACCTTCAGGTTCAAATTTCTGGCTGGGGGGGGGGGGGGGGGGGCAGGGTGGGCGGGTGGCTGTAATAAACATGGCAGTAATGCAGTCTGTAATTAAGTTTGGACAGAACGGTGAGACAGGCAGAGGAACCTTGTAATCAGGCATGTGCATGTCAGCCTCCTGGCCTCAGGTGGTGAATCTTTCATGCAGCTTGACTGACTTATTAATGATGAGTGCAGGTTCCGGATGTTTCCAAAGATGCTGGCCATCCATCCACACTGTCCGGGGGAATGAGTGTGCTGGTAGGGTTGTTGGTGCCGTGTGGTGATTTGGACTTATGGACCTGAGCACCGGCCTTGTGAAATCTTCACATTCTTGCTGTGCCTTGTCTTCCAAAGAGCAGCCTTGCATGTCCAGCCCGTTAACCCCCCCTATCCATTAGGTGCTCTAACACTCCCATTAAATCCCTGCTCCCCGCATTTTAATGCCTCCATGGGCCAGTGCTGGTGTGGGGGGGGGGGCAAGGGGCTCGTCCTTCCTATTATTCATTATTTAAAGAGTTTAGACGCAGCAGCTGGGCGAAGGTCCTGCCCTTTTTGCCGTGTGCCCCCCCCCGGCCAGCTGCTTCATCTGGACTGGTGCCCCTGCTCAGTATTTACCACAAGGGTGACAACGGGAGATTTTTCTGACAGGATCTGCTGCCAAAAAAATGGCTGCCCCCGGTCAGCCGGTAAGTGGGATGATTTCTGACTTTACGATGCTCCTTTTGCAGCCAGAACAGAGGATGTGTTCTGCCTAACCGGGTGCCTGTCGGACTTTGCGGGACCTTTAAGTCAAGTGGTTTCTCTCAGTTCAGGACTCACGGATCCCTGGATGCTGCCCCACAATGCGACGTTCTGTAGGTGCAATGTAACTGGGGGGCTTCCAAAGAACAAAATAGCAGTGAATAAAAAGGTAAAATAATGACTAAAAACAAGGAAGGAATTAACGACTTGTTTTTTTCTGTATCGGTCGACTCCCTGCTCTTGCTCAATGAACTCCATTCTCTTAAATCCAAACCCCAGGACACTCCCTTGAATGTCTGCATCTTAGAGGGGGGGCTACCAGTGCCACGACGACCCCCGCCCTTGCGAGTGCAGCTCTCATGCTACGCTCACGACCAGGCCTATTAATCTATTATTAGTCATATTAACAGCCGAATGGACATATTTACTAGAAGCACTTACCTAGTGGGGTTAAGCTTTCAGGGTCTTAAATGTGCCACCTCATTCTTAACGACTACTCCGGCCGACGGTTCCAGCCTGCTATTTAAGCTGCATACCCCCGGGGGACGCTATCTGTGTAGTTAAGGTGTAAGCTCGGTGTAAACAGACCACCACGCCTCTTCTGTCAGAGAGAGGTCAGGAATGCGATTGGGTGCGTCTCCATGGTACGTTGTAGCTCAGCCTCGGCGTGCCGCTTTATCTGCACCCCCTCCCGTGCCACCATGCGGTCAATCGTGTTCCACACTGCCGCATCGCCATGGGCATCATGGTGATTATATTTCCGTTGCAAAGCCCCCCCACTCCGGGGTTATTGAGTAAGGTTTTAGTTGGCAAGATAATCTCTCCTCACGAAAGAAACACCTCTCAAGAATCGATAAACAGAGGTCCAAAGAGGTACAGATATTGTGCAAAGCCTACTTACATAATTCCAGCGTTGGATCATTATCATTTTACAAGAAGTGCTGAAGCTATGTAGCTAAGCAAGCACAGTCTGTTATTTTATTACTGGAAAGCAAAGTCTGTTCCACGGAAGAGCAGAAGCTGTTGTTAATCATGCAATAAACGAGACAGAAAGTATAAAAACGGAGACTGGAACTCCAGATATTGTGAAGTTGAACATTTTGAATTCATACTCATAGAAAACGGCTGGGCTGAAAGCAGGGCCTGCCCACCGGAACACCTGTGTGATTTATGGAGAAAAGGGCCGTAATTAATTTACAGTTTATACAAGTGCTGACAAGCGGGAGACACCCTGTTCCCCATCAACACCTCAAGGAATCTAATCTCCTCGGTCCTGTAAGCACTATGCTCTCTGACATCAGCAGAGATGCCCAATATTCTGCATGTCATTGTTTTCTGTTTTCTCTGCAGTGAGTAAACAGATACGACTGTCGTCATTCTACTCAGAAGTTATCTGAAAGCCCACGATTCTTATCCTTGCTAAAATATGAAATCTTGTGACATGTTTACATGTTTGACAGTGAGATGGCAGGAAAGGGGTAAGAAGTCAAGTTCCATTTTTGAAAATACTCTGACATGAGGCACATCGCTGTCCCCCACTCCCCTCATTACAGTTGTCGCTGTTTTCTGAGGGCCCTCTTTTTAAATTTTGGCGCTGCTAGTTTTCGTCTTCCCTCTGGTCATGTGACCAATCACAGCACAGATTTGGTGAAGGAAGCTGCGTGACTGGATGGGGGTGGGCCCTGGCCAATCGAGCCACTACCCCCCTGTTAGGCAACTGGTATGGGAGAAAACATGTAAAAATCCCCCCCCCGACTTGAAAAACCTCAATATCAAACATGGAATGTATTTCCAGGCGGTTACTGCTTTCTATCAGAAGTCTGTAAATCTCGTCCTGGCTGAGAGAATGGAGCCCCTCCCCCCCCATTTCTGAGTGTGAGCTCCAGGCACGTGCAGACTTGTGACGCTGCTGGCACTGTGATTGTTCTGATGAGCCTTGGTGCGTTTGGAAGGAAACACATCAGCCACTGGGTCCCTCCTATTCAAGGACACTTAGGGAACTATATGTAGATGGAATCTGCTCTCAATTTTGTGTTACACTATTTCTAAATTTCACTTATTATACTTTTCTCATACAGCTGGTTAATGAATGAAGCACTTTCTGACAAATCAAAGCTACACTACCTACTGCCTTCCAGGGATGTGAACCTGTAACCATCTGCCTGCAGTCTAAGCCAAATGTATAATACAAATAATGCAGTCGGTCTGTTTTGCAGGACATTTACATGAGTTGTAGACCTAATAACTGGCTACCTGTACAGCACATTCGATGCAATGTACCGGGAAATGAGTTAAGGGATGAAAAATGCAGACTGAAATGTAACCTTTCACTTTATCATGAAATGCATCATCTCAATGCTGTGTTGGCAGGTCATGTGATGCGTAAGATGACCGGCGCATTTGGGTGTTGGGACGGGCTACAACCTTAAACAAGTTAACGTGAATTGCTCCAGAAAACAACCAAAATCATAGCAGTAGTGATAACATCCAGGCAAACTGCTTGGAGCCCCGAACGAGAGTCTTGTCACGTCCTATTCTGCCCCAGGTCCGTGTTGCAAGCGTTTCGTCTCTCAAACGTTTCCTTTGTCTATATTTTAAAGACCATGCAGGAAGCAGAAGGGAGGGGCTGTCCGTAGCCATCTCAAAGCTCTGAGTAAGACAGCTGCTTCTTTTTGCTGGGGGGGGGGGGTGGCTAGTGGTGTGTCCCCCCCCACTTGATGTGCTCAGCATGGCTCTGGGAGAAATGCTCCTTGATGGGATATCCACATGAGACAAGGAAGATGTTTTCCTGGAGCATGTTTTAATCATTCACTGCAGCATTCTGCCGCTCGAACGGCATTATGGGTAACGGCAGTCGCACTACATTCAAAGTGGCAGTAGCTTGGCTTTAGACGTCTGACATCTTGGGGCCGGTGCTGGCACTGTGCCAAGAGGAGGATCCAAAGGGGCTGAACTTGTGTCTAAAATGCTTTAGGTTTGACTCTTAGGACTGGCCCTGCTCGTATAAACTTGAAGAAGGACACGTCATGGGAAAAAGTCCTCTATAAAAAGCCTACTCACTAAAAGGATAAGCTATTAAATGATATATGTTTTTTGGCGTGCAGCGTAGTAGTGCTTGCCCACTAATCGTTTGTTCAGCCTTCTCTTTTAAAAAAGTGCTGCCAAGACAAGGTGACAGAGTAACTCTTTGAGCTATTTGTTTGCTCTGATGGTCACAACATCATTTAGCACTTTATCCATGTGCATTGTGGGATACGTTCTGATCAAGTTTAGTTGTGTCTAGTCCGCGCCCTACATTCCTTAATGCGCAGGGCCTTGTCAACCCACAGTCTGGGAGCAAGTCTTTTCCTTGACTTCATACTGACCTCTCTGGCACTGTGGGTCGTAGGTCTGGGCAATCTGGGCAGCCAGCGGTCACAGCTTACGAGCCTGTCATGACGCATCTATATTCTCAACAAATGGAATTTATAGTGGAAACACCAGATGTATATAGGGGGGAAAAAAACAGGAATCAGTGAAGAGCAAAGTCACAGTAACATGGTCTGATTTTAAAGCACAGATTCAACAACCGCGACCAGGTTTTAAGTGAATCTCCCCAAACTGAATAGTTGCAGAAAGGCAGACAGTTTCAGCAGGTTGAGCGGGAGTGCAGCACGGTGGGGGGGAGGGAAGAGCAGGGGGACAGGCACAGAAATGGGGTAAACTTCCATGCCATAAGCCCTGGCGTACATGGGTATGTATCCCGAAAGCGGAAAGGTTGTTTCTCACTCAGCTGCATACTGCAGGCAAAGATAAAAGCCCAGGGGGAATAGGGCTCAGGAATAATTAAAACAAAACAAAAAAAAACACTTCTTTTCTCTCTCTTGCTTTCTGCGGGCCTGCTTCAGGGAACCACCGTAGAAGAGAGATGTGGGTCTCCGGACCCTCTCGGCTCTCAGCTTGACCGCTATGCCCCCTCCCACCCCAAGCCCCTCCACTTTGCCCCCCCCCCACACCCTAAGGCACAAAAGAGCAGGAGATACAAAAACAACATTAAGAAACTCCCCCCACTTGTATACAGATGAGACTGGTACCGATTTTCAAATTGCCAGACGAAGTGGAATACAGGCGTGTTCCTGCCCTCCTCTTCCCTATCGCAGCGGGTGGCACATGCCTTCCGACAGGAGCCGAAAAGAGACCTCCCACTCTAGCTGACCGCAGGACCCAGAAACCGGAGTAGGTGGTTAAAACAGGAGAGTGGGAAAAACCCACAGCTCTCAATTTGACCAGACATGCGACCAGGAAGGAGTTATGAGTGTCACAAGCGGCGCACATCCGGCTCGCTGCCAGCCCTATTTACGTTCTGTGACCCCAGGGCTACACCCCGGCTGTCAAGACAGAGGAGGGACTGTGTTTTTTCCTAAATAGGATGTTTATAATCAAGTGGTTGTGGGAAAATGACATGCTGGAGTAGTCATTGACAGAAAAAAAGTCAATTTCTGGAAGGACCCTTGCATCTTCAGAGCAGGTAGTAAATGTTATGCGAGTTACAGTCAGATCTCTTATTACAAACATGAGACTGTAAGGTGCCCCAGTTCAGGTGTGGTTTCATCCGCAAACCTTGATTAGACGCATATTAATGGTAGTCCATCCATCCAATTGCTTCATTCTCATCAAGGTTATGGGGATTAATGGTGGTTAGAAGTATATTTAGTTCACCCCAGCATGCTAGCTGGTCATGCTTTGTGCCCTGTGCTGTCTGCTCCACCTCTGACCTTCTGCTGGATAAACAGCAGGAAGTTGGCCGCCCGATTGCCCACTAAACAGGTACAGAGAAAGGTTAGATGTGGTGGAAACCTTCTCACTGATGTTTAAGTCATATTTAAATCATTTTGCTATCTTTAATATCTTGCACTAGTGTATGTGTGTGTGTGTGTGTGTGGGTGTGGGGGGGGGGGTCAGTCAAAGCTGTTGTCACCCCATGTTTCGAACAGCCACCCTGTACTGTATGTCCTACAGCCTCATGCATGGAGCCTGAGCATTCATCTTCACATGAAGATCCGCACGTGGCCATTCCACCACTCTGCGACTCTTTCATATAGAAAATCATCATAAATCCTTCTTTTTTTAAAAAAAAAAAAAAACAAAAGCCGTCTCTTAGCAGCTACTCTATGTAATACACATAATTTTCCTTTCCTACTGAAAAATAATTGTTAATTGCTCACAGTATAAAACCAAAACTGGCTTGCTGATTTAATGAGTCATCCATGTTAGTTTTGCTCTGCTATTACAGCTCTTGAAAGCTTTATGTTTTTTTTATTTTATTGTATTCTGCAGCCATGACCTTTGCAGGTTAAACTAGGGCTCCTCCCACTTTCATTTTTTTTCAGCTTCCACGGCGATACTCAAAGTGAGGCCTGATGTATTATGTAGCCTCATAAATCCCTCATTTGCTGAAGTTTGAATGTGGCAACTGCCTTCTGAAAAATATGGAGAGTGTAACTAGGGCTGATGGGAATCTTACATAATCCAGCAAGATGTTTGTGTGTGAGTCTCAGGAGGCATTTGTGGTTCTGTGGTATGAATCATGGCGCCACCACCAGGTTGGGGGAAAGAACTGCCTGAGGATGCTCTTACATTTACCACAGCATTCATCTCCTCCTCCAGACAGCACCATGGGGAACCTGGAGAGCCAGAGGTGGGACCGCCTATTTTACAGAGATGGTCCTGGATATTTGTGCCACTCGTCCCGGAAGGAAATGTCCCAGTCCCTCCGTGTCACTGGCAAGCAGACAAGGTGCTCGCAGTACATGTCCTCAGGGAAGGTGGAGCACCGAAGCTCAGAAACCAGCACGCGATCCAGTAGCACGCCCAGTATCCCCCAGTCTCTGACTGACAACGGGCTGAAGGCCTTCAATGAGGCCGGCGCCCTGCCTGATTTTGGCAGCCCCATTTGGGTAGATCGTGTGGCCATGAGCCTGAGGCCCAGGTCGTTCCATAACGACCTATCTTTGAGCCTCATGGACCCACATAAGAGTCAGGTGGTACCCCCAGGGAAACGTCGCAGCAAGGCATATGCGGGGGGCTCTATCCTCCTTCAGAAGGTTAGGGTTGGGCCATGGAAACGAGCCAGACACAGGAAGAAGCGGTCCAAGTCTGCAGAAATGCATCGGGATGACAGCTTGGATATCTCCATCTCTGACCTCAGCAGTACGGAGGAGATTGCGGAGGGTGACTGTCACGGGAACTGTGGCAAGCTGGACCTGCTGGATATCAATAACAGGTCCAACTCCATGGAAGAGTTCTATGCCCAGGGCAGCCGGTCCCACACACTCCTTCGGTACTTCGTCAAGCACTGGCCAAGGTCTGAAAAAACCACGCTAGAGGGTGGAAGCAGTGAGGCCTCTTCACCGTTTGAGGAAGACAGGAGTGCTTTTGGCGCCTATACCTTGCCTTGCCGCCATTCCCACTGCCTGTCAGAGGGACTACCAAGCCACCAGGGGGCACTATGTGAGAGGTTGCAGGCCCGGAGGGTGCTGACCACTCAGGTAAGCCACCTGTACCTATTCAGCACAGCTCAGTGCACAAAACCTGCTAAATGATCATTTATTTTTAGTTTTTCAAATGTTTGCAGTAGGGTGGGATGGTGGCTCAGTGGAGGGAGAGAGAGCGTCCCACCTCCAGCATTGGGGGTTCAGATCCTACCCTTGGCTATGTGTGTGTGGGATGTTCTCTCCACATTGTGCATGAGTTACTCATACAATCAAAATTGCCCATTGTGAGCTTGCACCCTGTGATGGGTTGGTGTCCACTGCCATGTAGCCTCACTTTAATTCCCACGCCCCTCCTCCCCTCCC